GCACCTAAAAGTCACCTATCGAAAAATTCCACCTTGTTTTGCCTGCAAACAAGCTTTTACCAAAAACTAGACAGTTATTTGATTTTGAAAGCTATCAAAAATGCATGGGATCATGTCATCTGCAAAAAAATATTCTGACTTCCTCCTTCCAATTTGGAAGCCCTATATTGCTTTCTCTTGCCTTATTTTCCTGGCTAGAATTTTGAGTACTATGTTGAACAAGAGTGGGAAAAGTGGGTATCTTTGTCTTGTTCCAGATCTTAGAGGAAAAACACTCAACTTCTGTCCATTTGGTATCATGTTAGCTGTGGGTTTGTCATATATGGCCTTTATTGTGGTAAGGTACATTCCATCCATACCTAATTTGTTGAATGCCTTTATCATAATGAGATGTTGGATTTTATCAAATGCTTTTTCTGTGTCTATTGAAGTTAACATTTTTTTCCTTCATTCTATTGATGTGATTATCACATTAATTAATTTGTGTATGTTGAATCATCCTTGTATCCCTAAGATGAATCCCACTTGATCATGGTGAATGATCTTTTCAATGTGCTGTTGGATTTGGTTTGCTAGTATTTCATTGATGATTTCTGCACCTATGTCCATTAAGTCTTTTTCTGGTTTTGGTATGCGGGTAATGCTGGCCTCAGAGAATGAATGTGAAAGCATTCCCTCCCCTCCTGTATTTATAACATAGAAAGCCCTCAAGACTCCACCAAAAAATTACTAGCACAAATAAATGAATTCAGTAAAGTGGCAGGATACAAAATCAACACACAAAAATTAAAAGCCTTACTATATGCCAATAACAAAATAGCTGAAGAGATCAAGAAAGTAATCCCATTCACAATAACTACCAAAAAACTGAAATACCTAGGAATAAATTTAACCAAGGAAGTGAAAGATCTCTAAGAAGAAAACTATAAAATACTAGTGAAAGAAACTGAAGACACAAATAAATGGAAAAATATCCCCTGTTCATAGGTTGGAGGAATTAATATCATCAAACTGTATATACCACCAAAAGCAATCTACAGATTCAATGCAATCCCTATCAAAATACCAATGACATTCTACATAAAAATAGAAAAAACAATTTTAAAATTTGTATGAGACCACAAAAGACCCCTTATAGACAAAACAATTTTAAACAAAAAGAACAAAGTTGGAGGCATCACACTACCAGACCTCAAAGTATTCTATAAAGCTGTAGTAAAGAGCATGGTACTGGCATCAAAAACAGACAAACAGACCAGTGGAACAGACTAGAGAGTCCAGAAATAAACTTACGCATTTACAGTCAACTGGTTTTCAACAAAGGTGCAAAAATATGTATTGGGGAAATATATAAGAAAGACTTTTCAGTAAATGGTGCTTGGAAAACTGGATGTCCTCATGCATAAGATTGATACTAGACCCCTATCTTTCACCATACACAAAAGTCAATTCAAAATGGATTAAAGACCTAAATTTAAGACTTGAAACTATGAAAGTACTAGAAGAAAACATAGGGGAAATAGTACACAAAATGGGAATGGGCAGCACTGTTTTGAACAAGATTGCAAAGACACAGGCAACTAAAGCAAAAATAGACAACTGGGACTACATCAAACTAAAAAGCTTCTGCACAGCAAAGGACACAAACAACAAAGGAAAGAGATGATGTACAGAATGGGAGAAAGTGTCTGCAAACTACACATCTAACAAAGGGCTAACATCCAGAATACATACGGAACTCAAACAACTCAACAGCAAAAAAAACAAGTAACCCAATTAAAAAATGAGCAATAGAAGAGATATAAATGGCCTACAGGCACATGAAAAAATGTTTTAACATGGATAATCGTCAGGGAAATGCAAATGAAAACCACAATGAAATATTTTCTCACTCCAGTGAATGGCTATTATCAAAAAGAAAATAACGAATGCTAACAAGGATGTGAAGAAATGGGAACTCTCCTACACTGTTGGTGTGAATGTAAATTATTACAACCATTATAGAAAACGGTATGGAGGTTCCTCAAAAGCCTAAAAATATAACTACCTTATGTCCCAGCAATCCCACCACTGGGAATATACTAAAAGGAAATGAACTCAATGAGACATCTGCCCTCTCATGTTCATCCCAACACTATTCACAATAGCCAAGAGACAGAATCAACCTAAATGCCCCCTAACAGATGAATGTTAACAACAACAGCAGCAACAATAAAAAGCACTGTGATATATATACATACAACGGAATATTATTCAGCTATTAAAAAAATGAAATCCTGTCATTTGCAGCAACATGGATGGAACTGGACATGAAGTTAAATGAAGTATAAGCCAGGCACAAAAAGACAAATTCCACATGATCTCATTCATATGTGGAATTTTTTTAAAAAGGTTCTCATAGAAATAGAGGTAGAATAATGGTTACCTGAAGCCAGGAAGGGAAGGGGGCAGGGGAGAGGGGGAGTGTGGATTAAGGGAACAAAGCTACAGGAAGATAGGAAGAACAAATTCTGGTGTATCAGGCTGACTAGAGTGAATAATATTATATTGTGTATTTCTAAATAGCTAGAAAAGAAGATTTTGACTGTAACTGTGACAAAGAAAAGATAAATGTTCAAGAGATGGAAATGTTGTCTACCCTAAGTGAATCCTTGTACATTATATGTATGTGCTGAAAGAACACACTGTACCCAACAAATATGTACAATTAAATTTTAAAAGTAAAAAGTATATGGGAAACAATGTTTTTTTCATACTATTTCCCAATAGCAAAAATGCTTATGTTATGCTGGTTGTTTTCTAGTAATTGAAGTACAGGTACAATTAGGTAGATCTAAGTGATTGAATTGATGAAAACATCAATCAAGCAAGTTAGTGAGAACTAAGCACATCATTTAAAAAACTCTTATTTGCTTTCATTGATTAAGTTTTATAGGTTAAGGAAAAAGATATAGAAGAAAAATAATCACTTACGAAATGATCTATGGCTCAATCTTAATCTGCAACAATGACATGTTTACCCATAAGAGTCCATGTATTCAGTCATCTTTTTCTCTGACACGACATCCCCAAAAATATCTCACTGGCCAGGTTGAAACTCTCACACGGGCTCTTTTTGCACTACTTTCTTGAACAGGCACATATAACCTAGAGAGCTTCGTCATGCAAAATGAGACTGAACAAAAAACTATTCATTTGGTTTAAGGCACTGTAAGTCAATATTAGAATTAACATTTCAGTAATATGTGCCATAAGAAGACGTTATAAACAACAATAATCCAAAGATACATCTTTAAAATTTTAGGAAAAATAATTATATGTATATCATTTCTTATTTTTGAAGGAAAAGAAATATGCCATATACACACAAGGATACTTCAAAAAGTTCGTGGAAGAATAGAATTAAAAGATAATACAAATCTTTCCATGAACTCTGTAAAGTCCCCTTGTATTATTTGTCGGATTTATCAAAATCTACTTCTACATCCATTTTTTTTAAAGTATAAGTTACAGTTTGATTTTGTAAATAACTATCTACACAGGTAACAAATAGCAAACAAAAATGAATATAGGCAATCTGACTCCAGAACCCACATTTTTAACAATTTTGCTAGACTGACTTGTCATTTGGGGCTTTAATGTGTCTTATGGAAATGAATCTGTCAACAGCTTTATTCTGCTGAATCAGAGCTTCTTTTCAGTGTTATGTTAAGCTCCAATGACAGATTCTCATGAAATCAGTATAATGACAATGCATTGTGAAGGTGACCCAGAGATGACAGCCATCAACCCACTGTTAACAGAGATGAACCCACCGATCTTGCAGCCAATGCTCTAACATTAGTTTCATACAATCCCACCCATTCACCTACCACATACGTAGTTCTCCCGAAGCTGTGGGTTCTGAAAAAGCAGATGGCTCTCCTAGACAGGAGAGAAATATCCTTCTGCTCAGGAATAATTGAAAAAACTAGTATCTAATGAAAATCCATTGAAATTGCAATAGACAAATAAATAACACTAAACTGAGAACCTTACATGTGGAAACACTCTATGATGTACCAAGCTTTTAATAAAATAGAAAAACCAACTCAAGGCAAAGCAATTAAAACAAGGCATTGCTTTTTTCCCCTGAGGAATAAAGACAAGCCTAACCTGTAGAAACAGATCATTTTTTAAAAGCAGAAATGAAACTGTTATGAGCTTATATACTACTCACGGGCCATCATAAAATACAGTTTTACATAAATGCATTCTCATTAGGCTCTATAACAAGCTACAAATAGGCAAGTCTTTTAAAAGATTAAATCTCGAGGTCTAACACAAAAGTCGACTTTTAAAAGGATAGCTTCCTGTTATCAGTGATTGAACCTCACAGTGAGGGTTAACGAACAACTCTACAACCTGGAAAATGGACATTTTGTTAAACCATATAAACTCAGTCACACAAACATAAAGTGGGTATTGACACTATTCGTTGCCTGATTTAGCCATAATTAGAGTAAGCATATTTGTGGGGGGGGGGGACAAAACTAAAGATATTGAGAACAGTTTGTCTCTTTTTGTTTGCTTATTTTATACTCAAAATATAAACAATTAATCAAAATGCCTCCCCTTTAAGATATTTCATGAAACACTATTTCACATTTATCTTCCAAATGTTATTTTCCAGAAGTCACTAAAAATCAGTCCAGTCTGAATATTACAGTCAACTCAAAAAGACGATTTCTTTCTGAACAAATTACCTGTCAATCAGTAGCTCTTTGTCAAACAACCAACGAATTTTGGACCTACCCCTACTTTTTTCTGTAGGTAGAAACAGTTTCCCTACCTTGAAGGTTTTATGCCAATCTATTGAAACACTTCCTCAAGAACAGAGTTAGGGGAAGGCAACAGGGACAATCTGTCATAACTACAGGGTAAGTATTTATGTCCAAATATTACATACAAGTGAGATCCAGTGACATCAAAACAAAAATCAGAAAAGCACAGATGATTACCTGATATTCATTGGGCCAAAAGGTGCTCACTGCTAGCTCAGCCCGAAGCCAGTCTCTACCCGTGAATCCAGTCACATTCCAAATTGGATTGGCAAGAGGTCCTTTATTTACCCTAACTAATATGTTCAGTGTGCCGGGGTTCGACCCTTTCTGGCTGTACAACAGGTAACTGAAATCAATGCAGTGAGTGTCATTCTCCTTCATTGTAGGTAGCTGCAGTCTAGCTTTTTCTCCAGGGTCATGATCTGAAGAGTCCACTATCATATAGGAACCTGAAATGACATTACAAATAATAAAGCTAAATAGATATAAGCAAAAGGGAATCTATAACAGGAAAAAGATATCAATTCATTCTGAATATTAAATTTAACTCAAAATTTAACTCTAAAAGACTCTGCTTCCAGAACAGAACCATAAAACGACAGCAGTCAACTAAGTCGGTGAATTGAATTCCTACAGTTTACAGACATTGTTCAAAGTACACAACATGTATTAACTCACTTAGTCTCATGGCAACGTGCTGTTATCCCTATTTTACAAATTAGGAAACTGAGACACAAGCAGTAACTTATTTAAAGTCATATTGTAGACCAGGCAGAGACTGGTTCAAACTCAGATCTCACTCTAATAAATCTCTGGTCTTACTAAACAGAAGTCTTTTAATATAAAATGAACAAACAAAAACAATACCTTATTGGCCTGGTTTACATAAAGTGTGTGCCTTTTTTTTTTTCTATGCATAGTATTATTACAGGGAGATGGGCTGAGAGGCAGGCAATGGGAATCATTTCTGACTTCAAATACCAAGATTGTCATCTATACAAGTTGCGTGACTGACCTTTTGCAATATACTAACCACTTTGAACCTCAGTTCAAAGAATAAGAATACTTTGTAGTGTTAGTGTGAGGGCTAAAGTTAAACATTTCTACAGCCGAGAATTGGGCACATAGTAAATTCACCCACTTGGAACTGGGTGAATTTAGTTGTCCTCTAACCACTACTGCTATTGGCCTCAATTCTGCCACAGTCCCAGTGCTCTTCTAGGACTGCAAGATACCAAGTTTGAAATCACTAATGTACTCCACTCCCTTTGATTTAAAAAATATTCATTGGTTATCTATTATGGAGAAACACAGAACATAAAGAGCCCAATCCTCACAACATTCACACAAAGACTTGACATTGCAGTTAAAGGTCATGTCACTACAAAATGGGACTTGAACACTAAGCTGCTAATATTAGTCTGAGAACCTCTCCAGAAAAACAACCAGTTGCTCTCATGCCACTGGATTTTAACAGAAACATATATTGCAAAATTGCAAATATACCTATTTATCACATTTAAGGCAGAAAACAAATTTTATTGTAAAACATCTTTTTTATATATATAGGATGCAATTTTAACCAAAATTTATTAGGTGTACTGTTACAGAACCCAGTGTTACAAGGGTTACACTCGATCCTCTCTTCCTGACAGCATGTGGAATTAATCAATCCTCTGTATTCCCTCCCAAAAACATAACTTGTACCCATGGCATATTAAACACTCAATGACTACTAGTCTAACTAGTTCGAGTAACTCCTAATAACAGGTTCAAATTATGGCAGAGAGGAGGGCTTCACCTATATAAGAAACTCAATTTCAAATCTTTCCACTTGAGTGAGACCCTATGGTTCAGGGCTGTTTTGAAGATTTCATATAACACTTTAATACAGTCCAAGTACACAATAAGCATACTATAGTGATAGTGACATGTTACTGTTCAATTTCCTAGTCCTCATCTTTTCTTGTAAGCTGCAATTCTTTTTTTTTTCCTTTCGTGATTCTCACAGGTGGCACTTTTTTTTTTTAGCCATATATATATATATATACACACACACACACATACACTTGGTATAGCTTGCCAGAAATAAGTGAGTTCATTTTTTTTTCCAAATTTTATATTATTTTGTCAATATACAATGTGGTTGATTATTGTGGCCCATTACCGAAACCTCCCTCCCTCCTCCTTCTCCCCCCTCCCTCCCAACAACCGCCTTTCTGTTTGTTTGTCATATCAACTTCAAGAAATTGTAATTATTGTGTCTTCTTCCCTCCCTCCCCCCAGTTGTTTGTATATTTATTTATTTTTAGCTCCCACAAATAAGTGAGAACATGTGATATTTCTCTTTCTGTGCCTGACTTGTTTCACTTAATATAATTCTCTCTAGGTCCATCCATGCCATTGCAAATGGTAGTATTTCATTCTTTTTTATAGCAGAGTAGTATTCCATTGTGTAGATATACCATTTTTTTCTTATCCATTCAACTGATGATGGACATTTGGCCTGGTTCCAACTCTTAGCTATTGTAAATAGTGCTGCGATGAATATTGGGGAACAGGTATACCTTCGACTTGATGATTTCCATTCCTCTGGGTATATTCCCAGCAGTGGGATAGCTGGGTCATATGG